AACATCACACAAATTTGCTGCTTCTCCTAATGCATATTTCTTGAGGAAGGCTTATCTTAATTGCTCTCCTGAGCTCCAAGCTTATCATTCAGGATCTACTATCTCTCATATGAGCCTCAAATCCAGTATGTCTAAAACCCATAAATTTTTTCTCTTCTACAAAAACAGAAAATTGACATCTCAATGACCAATCAGAATCCTAGAAGTCTTCTTGGGATACTTCTTCTCTCCCTCTGAAAGGATTCTAATCACTTTCCAATTTGCAGACTATACTTCTTTCTTTATACTTTCTTTCTCTAATTCATTCTCTACTTCACTCCATCATTTCACAGCCAGATGACTGCATCAGCCACATCACTGGCCTCTGCCTCAGTAACAGTCCTAAAATGGAAATCTGTTCATATCATTTTCCCATTTAAAATTCTTTAACAGCTGGATGTAGTGGGTGCACACCTGAAATCCTAGCAATTTGGGAGACTGAAACAGGAGGATCACAAGTTCAAGGTCAGCCTCAGTAACTTAGCAAGACCCTGTCTCAAAAATAAGAAGTGCTAAAGATGTGGCTCAGTGATAGAATGTACCTGGTTTCAATCCCCAGTACTGGAAAAAAAATTCTTTAATGATTTCCCCCTTAGCTTTAAGACTGTAGCTCAAATATTTTAGTTTAGCACATTGGCCTTTCTTTTTATTTTTTACTTGGTACATTATAATTATGCAAAACAGTGGATTTCATTGTGATATATTCATACATGCACATAACATAATATGGTCAATTTCAATCCCCAGTACCTTCTCTTTCACTTCTCTCCTCCCTCCCCTAATTCCCATCCTCTACTCTACTAGTCTCCTTTCTACCTTGTGAAGTCCCTGTTATTGTTTTTGTTGTTTTCCCTTTTCCTCATTAGCTTCCACATATGAGAGAAATTCTACCACCTTTGCCTTTCCAAGTTTGGCTTATATCACTTAACAATATTTGTTCTCAAGTTCCATCCATTTTCCTGCAAGTTACATGATTTCACTCTTCTTTATGGCAGAGTAAAATTCCATTGTGTACACATATCACATTTTCTTTACCTGTTCATTCGTTTAGGCTATTTCTACTACTTGGCTATTGTGAACTGTGCTGTACGCACACACGAACACACAAACACACCAAAATAGATTATTATATGGTAGGGTGTGTGTGTGCGCGTGTGCATGTGCATGCACAAGCATGTATTTGTGTGCATGTGTGTTTTATAGGTAACTACAGAATGTTTCTTAAGTAGGGCACTGTCTATACTGAGGAAAATGCCATAAGGCATAATCTGAAGTGGACACAGATATCCCACTGTCTTATGATACCCTACTATTCAGATGCACAAATTAGCAGAAGCCAAGTTTGGTGGTAGAGAAATAGCAACTCTTTACCACATTCAAATGTACAGGAGTTTTTAGGGATGTGGAAGAGCAAAAGGTGGGTGGGGAGAAAAAAGGCAGAAGAGCAAAGAAATAAAGTTGCTAAAGTACTTCTAAAATTTCTAACATCCAAATTGAAGCCATATGGGATATTTTTGGGGGGAATTGTTCTCTTTATAAATGAAAGTAGAGTGTATTTTAACATATATGGAACTTATGATATATTGTTACAACACAGAAACACCTCACTTCCATCTTCCCAAGTTCCTATATGGTTTGCTGTATTCATAGGCAATCATTATTGACAGAGAGAGAGATATCAAGGGGGAAAAAGTCAACTTACAATTCTGGGTGAATATAATGCAGAATAGGAATAGAAAGTCAACCCATAAATGAAAGTATGACTTAGTGGAAGCAAAAGCTTAGAGCCAGGGCTGGGGTTGTGGCTCAGTGGTAGACTCACACATTTGAGACCCTGGGTTCACTCCTCAGCACCATATAAAAATAAATAAGTGAAATAAAGGCATTGTGTCCAACTACAACCAAAAAATAAATATTTTTTTAAAAAAATCTTAGAGCCAGAGGTGACCCTGGATATATGAGTTCCCAGAGAATTCACAAAAATCTTGAAGAAGACATTATATTTGACAGGATATGGAATGAAGGTACAAACCAATTATATCTAGATCTTAAAGGCAAAAAGATCCCAGCAGACAAGTGGTTTTTTTGACCATAAGTAAGTAGATTGTGAGTAACTAAAACATTAAGGATTTTTTTTGGCGGGGGGGAATACAAGCAAGCTGATAATGGTCACTTAAAGCTTAAAGCTCTTATTAGGATATTAAGAGAAAGTCATGCCAAACTAACTTCATTTCCTTTATAACTAGGATTACTAAACTGATAAATCCATGATGCCACAGACAATATATCTTGATTTCAAAAAGGCTTTTGGGAAAGAGCTTGAAGCTGAAATAAAGAAACATAGTTTATACAGTAGCCCAATAAAGGGAGCAAAAAGCTCATTTCAATAACTTTACTCAAAGTATATTAATATTTGATTGGTGTTAACACAAAGATAGATATGGCACTGTTGTCCATGTCATTAAATATTTTTTATGAATTACTTGGTTAAAGAAATTTGATATTGACACCAGGCTAAGAGGAGATGACAAAATCAAGAGCTAAAAAGATCCTGAGGAACTGTAACAAAAATTCAAAATGGACAAAGTCAGTTGGCAGAACTCTTGCATTGCATGCATAAGGCCCTGGGTTCAATCCCCACCACCACCACCACAAAGAAAAAAGGCTCAAATTCAATAAATGTAACTATGACATCTACCTTTTCATATTAAAAAAAAGATAAACTAGTATAATATGAGAAAGACCTGAATTGAGAGTAGTTTAAGTTCAGACTTGGCAGTATTATAACTCTCAAAATCAACATGAACCAACAGCATGACAAGGCTACTGTAATACTTAAGATAATGTTAGACATTAAACAGGGAGGAAATTATCTGAATATATTTTGGAATATTCACATCAAACAGTTTGTTTAGATTTCAAAATGTTTTGATTTCTACATTTTATGTGAGTTACTTACAATCTAGAACATGCATAGAAAAACATTTCCAGAAGTGATTTGGAAAATTTCTATTCTTATAATGGCAAAGTAGTAATTCAGTCCAATTCTAATGCTGAGGAAAATGAATAAGGTTTGATGAAAAATAAAATACTTCATCTTAACAACATCAGAGTTAATAAGATAGAAATTTCATGAGTGCAAAAAATGAAATGCTCAGCACACAATCAAATATAGCAATTCACATGAAAAGATAAGACAACATGAGCCAAAACCATGAGCAAACATCAAGAAGACCATAGCAGAAACAGACACCAGAAAGTCTGGACACTGGGTCTTTCATATCTTAAGTATAAGAGAATCTGTTTATCATGTTCAAAAATAAATCAAAATAAAGATTCAAAATTTTGAAAAGAAACTAAAAATTATACCTGTGACATAACCAATTTTTAAAAATATATAAAATTTCTAGAAGTGTTCAGAGTAATCTAAAATTGTCATACAAGGCACATCTAAGGATCAATAAATTTTTAACTTAGATAAGGAAGACATAGACAAATCCTAAGAGTGAAAATTATTTGAAAAATACCTTTTCTGTTTCTTGTAATGTTGAATTACTAACTCAGTCCAATTCTGCCACTGAGAAAAATGAATAAATTCTGGTTTAAGCAAAGACAAACAACTTTATTTGCTCTGGCAGTATTTCTCAGCAACTTTAATATGCTTATGTGCATTGAAAACTTTCAGAGCAAATTTCTGTGTGTGATTCTGACCATAAAAAACAAAACTCTTATTCATGTTCCATATTTACAAGATCGGTGCTAAAGAATACTTTTCAGGAAATGTTAGGCTAAATAATCTAATCTTAATCATCTCAAAAAACAAAAATAGGTATTTTAGCCAAACACTGGTGGTGCATGCCTATAATCCAGTGACTCGGGAGGCTGAGGCAGGAGGATCACAAGTTGGAGGACAGCCTCAACATATAATATATATAGTGAGAACCCATCTCAAAATTTAAAAAAAAATAAAATGAGTTTGGGATGTAGCTCAGTGATAAAGTGCCTCTAGGTTCAATCCCCAGTACACCCCACCCAAAAAAATAGCATCTTAATTCTACACAATACCTTAAAAGAAGTGAGTTGATATCAATTCATGTATCAGCATTCCACAGGGATGCAATAATTATATGAGAGACTTAAAATTTAACACAAATTGCCTCCCTTTCTCTTTGAAAGATGCCACTTCACTTTTCACAGAAGAGGTATCATTTTGTGCTATACATACTTATAAGTTCCTTAAATGATCTATACCAAATACAGGTTCTGACAAGGCACCAGCAAGTGTGGGAGAAAATTCTTTGCAAACTTTTCTTCTGGACAGTATCATAAACTAAATAAATTAAGAAACTAAAAGTTTTCTTCCTACTGAAACCATGCTGTTGAAATTATCTGACAAAATAAAACAAGCAGAATATCTTGCTTTTCTCCTAGTTAAAATGTATTTTTACTCATCTTCATTTATACATTTTCATAATGGATTACTTCAGATACCACAAACTACTGTAAATAAGCACTAATTATCCTTGATCAAGAGGAGCTTCCAAAGTAGAATTCAATTACAAACTAAAATAAACTTTCAAACATCTTAAGAATAAAGATTTCTCTCACTCAAATTATTTATACTTCTCCATTTATTATATATTATTTCTTTTGTTATCATTTATTCATATTTATATGGGGCATGATAATATAAGTGGCCAAAAGTCTAGAACTTTCTCTTAGCCATTTCTTTATCAGCAAGTCATGCTCTATTCTTCAATTTCCCACTGTCTTTAGTACTAGCTTCTGGCTTTATTCTTTTGAGGTATACATTAGCCTTCACAGCCCAAGTCAGTCAGTTTCTGATGAGTGAAATTAAGAATGAAGGTGAGGAAACGATGCACCTGGATTAATGCCAGCTTCAGGGAATGGAATTAGAAGTGAGAACAATGCCAAAGCAAACTAAGCCGTCTTTTACTTACAGATGACACATGCTGCAAGAGACACATGACATCAATCATGTCCGCAAGGATAAGGAGTCTGGTAACTGCAGCCAACAAGGCACGTGCAGCTTGAACCACAGCCTCCCTTTTCGGGAGATAACAGGGGTCATCTGTAAATCTCTCAGCTGATACCTTCAGAGCTTCACCTGAAAAACAGAGCCCAAAATAAGTTACACTTAAATTTTATATCTATTTCAGCATTTATCAGCCAAACTAATTGCAAGTACATTCCATGACTAAGCATAATATTAAAATACTATCAGTTGATGCTAGGACATTTTCTCTTAATAAACAAACTAAGGTTCAAACTGACATTTGTTTTTGATAATTGCTCTGAAATCTAAGAAGCATGATCCCATCTTACTGCAAGAAAATTATGCTCAGTTGAGTAGATAATATCCAGTAAAAGTTGCTATCAACTTCTGCATTTGCTGAATCTTAATTGCTGTGAAAGATTTCATTACAAGACTTCAATCATAAACACTTCTGTCTATAAAAATAACTTAAATCTTCATCAAGTTACTTTTTAACTCAATGGATATTAGAAAAGAACTAGCCTTTAAAATGAAAGCAGCTCTCTAATAAAAGTTTAACATAGGCTGATTTATTCTATACAAATATAGTCAATTGTATTCTAAATTTAGTCACAGAACTAATACTTCACAGTACATAATTGTCAGAGAAATGCCATGTCTACTACTTTTAAGGTCTTTTAGATTAAATTTTTTTATTATAAATATAATGTGTATTCATTTGTTTTTAAGAGTTCCCAGTTCAGAAGGGTCTAAGATGAAAAAGTTTCCTTTTCCCTAATCAAGAAATATAATTCATAGAGAATTTCCATGTCTATTTTTTTAAATTTTTAAACTTATTTTTATTATAAAAGTAATATGTGCCCATTTCTTTTACATAATATACCATATAAAGAGTATAAAGTAAAATTCTAAAATTCTCCATGCTGATTCCTAAAAACATCAACCATTCATTCATCCTTTTATCTAGAAATATTTCCATGAACATATAGCTTACATGTATGTGTATATATAAGCATATATGTATATGCTTTATACATAAATGTGTGAATATTTTATTTATGTATGTTTTATTAAAATTTATATTGATTTGTTTTCCATAAAGAGATTTGATATCATAATAAAATATTTATTTTACATATTATAAATGGGAAAATATAATAGAGATATAAAACATTTGCACAAGTGGTTGCATACTGTAGAAATTTTCTACAACTTGTTATTTTCACTTACTAGTTTATTTTCTTTTCACACTGGAATATAGGTGATCAGGGAGTAACATAATCCATCAATGAACAGTGTGGATTCAAGTCAGACTGTTTCAATGCCTCTGTCCTTGGACAAGTCACTTAACTTTTTTATGACTCATTTTCCTTTTTTGTAAATAGAGTAATAATAACAACAAATATCTACAATTTTATGAGGAATAAATAAGAGCACTTGGCACTTAACAAACACTTGATTAGTGTCATAATGATTTTAAATGATTTATTGACATACAAAAATATGAATATTTTAGTTTTCACTTGTGAACTTCAACATACCAAATGGAATAAATTATTGTTAAGAAAAAAAATATTGTTTCTTATCACAGACAAAACCTGTGAAGAGAGACTGGTACTGCCTCAACATGTTACAGTCTTTCATTTAGCTCTCGTAAGCAACTCCATGTTAGGAACTCAGATTCTGAAATCACATTCTTCTGAAATCACATCCATCACTTCTTGTTCTAGGAACTTGGACACTTAAATATTTTCAGTGTCCTTATCTACATGGAAAAGATACAAAATATTACTGGTCTCACAGTGTTTCTGGGATATTTAGATAATTCATATTTTATATTTAGCACTATATCTGAGCAGAGAATGCATTCAACAAAGAGTAACCATTATTTCTCAGGAAATTTCTAGTAAAGATGGTAAATTTTTAAGAACAATAAATGGATGATTTTTGTGTGCTTCTCTGCAAGTCTTAACTGCTGCTAGGAGACTAAAAAATTAAACTGACCTCCAAAATTTAGAGAGCAGATGTATTTACACACAAAAAATAAATAAAAATAAAAAATAAAAAGATTATCTGTTCCTACTGTGACTCTGAATTGGAGAGTTGTAATGGCCTTTTGTAGAATACTGTTTTTGATTTCACATACCAAAACTAAATATATATCAAAAAAGAATTATGTATTTTTGACTCAAACAAATGTTAGGATATTGAACAACTGGGCTGAAGAACCACACTCAGAAAAAGATCATTTGAACAACTATTTTAGTCTTTGTTAAGGTAAAGCCAGTCAGGTAACACAGCTGGAAGGAGAAAAGTCACTCCCTGAAGTCATTAACATAGAGGCTCTGAGTTAACTTCCTATTATTGGATTTGTCCCCACTTACCACCCCCTGCTCCCATCTAAGTAGTTCTAAGCCTTTTTAGTTGGTTTTAGCTCATACTTCTGGGCCCAACTTAAAAAATTTGTCTGCAAAGCCTTAGACCCCCATTATTAAGGCATGTGGTACAGTAGGATTCTATGCTTCTGATCATAACACCTCATATCCATGTAATGAACAATTAGTATTAAAGTCTATCTTCTGTATCATAAGACTAGTAAAAGCAAGAGTTGCATTGGTCCTGTCATCAATGCAATATTCCCAGGATCTAGAATAGTGCCTGCTTTATCTTCTGTATTCAATATACTAGATTATTGAATGAATATGTGAATCAGCATTATTCAACTTTTTTGACAAAATGTATTATTCCTATATGACACATGACAACACTCTAGGCATCCAGGATATGGAGATTGGTACAAACCAATTTTGCAGCCCAAAAAGTTCATAATCAAATGAGAGTCAACAAACTCGGATAGATACAATCTAAGGAGGGTGCTGGAGAGGCCTGTATAGATTACAAGACACAGAGAAGGACCTACCTCTGCCTGAATGTTAGAGGACAGAGGAATATTCTAAGAGCAAAATGTTTCAATTGCTGACAAAGAGCTAGTTTATTGACTATAGCCAGTTCACTGTCAAATTTTCTGTCAGAAGAAAATGGCTATTTTCCTAATTAAATAGAAAAAAAAATTCTTAATTACATTTAGAGGATCTACAGTTTTTAAATAGCATTCCCAATCTTGCTTATCATGCTTTAACTTTGAAGTTTAATGGTTAGTGTTATGGTTTAGATATTAGGTGCCCCCAAAAGATCATGGGTGAGATAATTCAAGAAAGTTTAGATTTAATAACCTAGTCAGTGCATTAATCCCCTGATAGGGATTAACTGGGTGGTAATTATAGACAGGTAGGGTGTGGCTGAAGGACTCAGATCCCTGGGTCATGCCTTTGGGATACTTTGCCCTTATTGAGCAGAACTCTCCCTCTTCTGCTTCCTCTCCCTCCCTTCTCTCTACCCCACTCCTTCCTGGTGTCCTGTTCCCAGCTGCTTTCCTCTGCACAATGTTTCCACCATAATGTTCCACCTCACCTCAGCCCCAAGTAATGGAGTTGGCCAACTATGGACTGAGACCTCCAAAACCATGAGCCCCAAAATGAACTTTTCCTTCTCTACATTGTTCTTGTCAGGTCTTTTGGTAACCACGGCCAAAAAAAAAAAAAAAAAAATTGACTAAAACAATTAGGAGAATCCATTTTTTAAAATACATACAAATGACTACATTTTTCCTTCATAAATACCACTCCATTCATAAAAGCAATTAACTAAAAGTCTTTAAAAATACCACAAAAGCTAGACACAGAAAGCTTTTTTCTACTGGACTCATTTGGCTCTTTCCTATAAAATCTGCTCTTTTAAATCTTAAAACAAAAATCAATTATGAAATCCCTGTTTAAATAAGGTGCAAAAGTATAAGCATATGAATATTTACAGTTATGTCACAAGCATGTATAAGTGTAATATATAAAAATTTCTGAATATAAAAAGCTGATATATAAAATTATTATGTGATAGTATAAGTAAACCTCACAAGTACAAAAAGAAAGTTTTGACCAAATATACACATTACAAAATATTCTTCACTTTACAATGATTCCTACATAGTATTTTACAAGTTCCTTTACTGCATTTAAAAATGATTCTACTTCTCAAAGTGATTACGTTGATTATGAACTTGAAAATCAAACAAAATATGGAATAAGCAAAACATTCAGAGGAGAAAGAAGAAAAACCATATCGAAGAGGAGCAGGTACTGACGTTCAATATCCTCCAACTTTTGTAATTAAGATTGTGTTTATGATTAAATTAAGATTTCTAGAATATGCCTCTGGTCATCCTTCTGAGAGTGTGTGTTTTAATATATACATGTAACAAGCACTAGTGACTACTAATTGATTCAATATATAATAACATACTCTGGTATAATGGGGTTCACAGATTGAAATTGGGCACTAAGGGTTTGGTTTTATTTGTTTTTAATTGGGAAACTGCCAATTTGAATTTGAAAGCTCCTAAGAGGTAGAAGCTTGAATATAACTTTGGAGCAGACTATTCTTTTATTTGGCAGGGAAGAAAAAAGACAACTTCAATGAGATCCTAACCTTACACAGATATTTTTTTTTAAATATCCTCCTTTAAAAAGTCTGAGACAGTGTGGTCAAAGGAAGAAAACCTTATTATGGCCCAGGAAAGATGGAAACTGCTGCTATGCAGACTCAGGTTTGGGTGCTACAAGAACATCAGCAGGTTTACACAGAGTGAAAGTACATATGGTTGCCATTAAAAGATACTATGTTTTATTTGTTCAAACTTTCAGTGAACTCTCAATAAAAGTTATAATTTTCTTTCAACCAAGGCAGATTAACAAAAACCAGATTTCTTTTCCAAAATTAAAAAAAAATGACAAAAATGTGAAAAAAATGGTTATTAAATCGCTGAATGTCAGGCAGTGGAGGACAATGATCCCTGAGAATTGAAAAACAAACAGAATAAGCCTTTTGCTAGCTTCAGCTTACTGCCAGGAGAGAATTTTCAGGCCACAATACAAGAAGGGAAACTGTTGGGGTTTAAGTGTGCAGAGTTTAGCTCCCTCAGCCTGACACTTTGCAAGAAGCTGTGGCTGTGATTTAGGTCAGCTGAAGCATGCCGCAGCTAGGAGGAGGAAAAGTTC